CACTGCTCTGCTGGCTTCACCCTTCCAGCAGGCTGGAGAGAAACCCCTGCCTTTTCTGAGGCTGTAGGGTAGGACTGTCCTTTTCAGCCTCGCTCTCCTTCCCCAGGCGCCTTGTTCCAGGAGTTCAAGGAGGAGATGGAGACCGTCTACAAGATCTACTGTGCCAGCTATGAGCATGCCCTTCTGCTGGTGGAGAGCTACCGCAAGGACCCCCGGCTGCAGGAGGAGATCTTGGAAACCCTAAATGCCACAGTGTAGGTGCCTGCTGCTGAGGCCACCACCTCCCTCTCCGTGTTTTACCTACTGGCCTTGCCCTTTTCTTGGGACAACCTGCCTGCATGGGTACGTGCCACCTTTGTGGCATTGCCTGGTGTAGTCCCTGGCAGCCTGTCCTGCATGCTTGGGGCCACTTCCCAAAGCAGCACTACAGGTTGGTGGTCTTTTATGGTGGACCGCAAAGCAAGGGATGGGGTGGTACTCAAAGCTCCTGCCTGCTCCACACGCTCATGTGGCTCACAAGCCAAAGAGGGCACGTGTTCCCCAGTTTGACCAGAGATGGGCTGGCCCCAGGGGACCTGCTAAACTGCTCCTGATCTATTGTGGGGGGGTCACAAACACTGTCAGAGCCAGGAGAAGCAGGAGTGTCAGCAGAGGAACTGCCGGGATTTGCTTCTCTCTATTTCAGGGCACAGGCGATGTGACTCCCTCACAAGTGATGCCTTGCGTGCGGGTAGAAGGGGAGTCCTGCCTGCACTTTGCCCACACCCTCCCTCCCCATTGCCCCTGAGCAAGCGCTGATCCCGTGCCTCCCAGCGAGACAAGTGCAGCACTGTTCAGGGAGGCAGGGTGCCCGCCCGGGGCTGGCACTGCCTTCGGCTATTTCAGGGCACAGGCGATGTGACTCCCTCACAAGTGATGCCTTGCGTGCGGGTAGAAGGGGAGTCCTGCCTGCACTTTGCCCACACCCTCCCTCCCCATTGCCCCTGAGCAAGCGCTGATCCCGTGCCTCCCAGCTAGACAAGTGCAGCACTGTTCAGGGAGGCAGGGTGCCCGCCCGGGGCTGGCACTGCCTTCGGGGCTGGCGGGGATGGCATCCCTCTGCCAGCACTCTGGGGGGGTGGCCCCCCAGCTGGCGGGGAGCAGGGCTTCACAGTCAGAAACCCCCCACAGCTGCGGGGCACAGCTCCCCTATAGGTCCAAGGCAGCAAAACTCCCCTGCAGCTGGAAAGGGTCTGATTTCTCCCCAAAATGTTCATAGAGAAGCTGGGGGGAGCAGCAGGGTGGGAGGGCAGCCCTCCACGCTGACCTTGAGCAATTCCCGTCTCTGTCAGGCCTCACACGGGTGCATTGGACCTCAGCTTCTTCCTGGTGATGCCGGTGCAGAGGGTCACCAAATACCCACTGCTGCTGGGGAAGATCCTGGAGAACACCCCCCCCAGCGCCAGCGCTTACCCAGCCCTGCAGGCAGCCGTCCGCACCATGGCCCAGGTCAACACCAACATCAACGAGTACAAACGGCGCAGAGAAGTAGGTGAGCGGGCACAGGGCATGGTGTCTGGGAAGCCCCATCCCAACCCCAGTCATGTCCCCTTGGTGTTGCACTACTTCCCACTTAAATCAGTTCAAAGCCCTCCTGCCCTCCACCCGTCCTGCCTGGTGGAGCCACAGACTTGTGCGGGCAGCTCCCAGCGCTGCTCCGGTCCTGCAAATTCCACTCTGGGCAAGACCTGAAGGCTGCAGGAGCAGGGTGGCATGGCAGGGCTGGGCACAGAACCATTCTGTCTGCATTCCTGGAGCTGGGGAGTGGGAAGGAACAGTCCTGCCCTTGGGATAGGAGAAATCAGGCTCCCCACAAATGGGAGCTTGCTCTTCTTTTTGGTTTTTCATAGTACTTTCCCCAGGGCTGCCCTTCTTTGATGTGGTTTGTGCTTATCCTGTCGATCACGACTTCTCAGCACCGAGCCTCGGTGCTGCTCACCCGCATTGCCCACTCAGGCTGCTGAGGATGCTGCCCTGAAGTTTCCCCTTCTGATCTTTTTTCCTCCCACCTTGTGTGCCCTCACCCGAAGCAGCAACCAAATACAACAAGGCTGAGCACCTGACGCTGCGAGACCGCTTCGCGCGCCTCAACACGCACTCCATCGCCAAGAAGACCACGCGGCTGAGCCGACTCTTCATGCACGAAGCCGGCATCGTGGCCAAGGTGGGCAGCCTGCACCCTGCTGCCTCTCCCTGGGTCGTTTCTGGGGCTTTCCACTGCCTCCCGAGATGCCTCACCAGTGGGACTGGGCGAGCAGAGCGGAGGTGGCATGGCCAATGCTGACACCCAGTGGCCCTTGCTCTCACATGAGCCACAGTCCCATTTTTCAGCAGCCTAAGAGCGGCTCCTGGTCCCCAGTCCCAAGGACCAGCAAGGCAAGAGGGATGCAGGGCACACACCTTGCTGCCTGGCTCAGAGCGCTGCAGGGGAGTGCTTTGGCCCCCAAAGGACCCACAGGATCCTCGGGCACGCCAGCAAAAGGAAAGACACCCTGGTGTTCCCCAGCACCATAACCACACCGAAAGCCCTATTTCTGCATGCATCCCAAGCACCCTAGATCTCGGCCCTTTTTTAGATTCCTGGAGCCTCTCAGGGTTTCCCCTGCCTGTGCCCAGCACTGCGAGCTTCAGGCAGGTGCCTGGCTGCTTTCTACATTAGTACCCAGTGAGGGGCATCAGCCCTGCCCGAGGCGAGGCATTGCCTGGCCTGCCCGTGCTGGGGATAAGCCAGCCCTTGCCTTGCAGACGGAGGACAGGGAGTATGATGACCTGGAGGAGAAGTTCCAGTGCGTGGTGTCCAGCGTGGCTGTGCTGAAGGAGAACATGGCATCCTACCTGGACCATTTAGAGGTAAAACCCTAATAACTTGCAGGGGGTTGGCCCCATCCAGGCCTCAGGACTTGTTCCTTGGGGTTGGAGAATACTCTAAAGCCCTGTGGAAACCAGTGTCAGTTGGGGATGTTCAGTGGCTCGCATCTCTCAGCTAAAGATGTTGTGCCAGGGGCTTGCGTAACATCCAAGGATTGCTTGGGTCCAGCAGAGCTTAAAAAAAAGTCAAGGCTTTGTTGACACAGTCTGAGCTGGGTATCATTTGGGAATAATCAGTCCTTAAACTGATCATTATTTCAAGGCATTAAATATCTGAGAAGGCTAAGTGTTGTTCAGCCTGGGAACTCTTGCATAACAGGTATAAGGCAGAAGTGTTCACAAATCAGGGAAACAACAAACTTCCCTTCTGAGATGACCCAGCTGAGTAGCTGCTGTGATTTTCTCCTGGAAATCCCTTGGGGTATCTGAGGGAAATGAAATGATGAGCAATGGCAAAACTTGAAATCCCCAGACACTGTAGTATCAGTAAAGTCTCAGGAAATGGCAGAGGCTTCAGAAATCAGGAATTCAAGGGCTGGAAAGACCTTGTCGTGAAAATATTGACGAGGGCTCCCCATATAGGATTGGGAAGGAGGAAGAGGGGACAGAAAGACTCTCTGTAGCCCAAAGAGTGAGTAAAATGGGATTAGAATAGAAAATGTGGGGATGGCAATCTGTATGACAGTGAGATGTAGCATCAGTTAGGGGGACAGGGCATGACTGTTCCTTGGGACATCAAGTGCTCCTGGGGACCTGCCTGGCACTGCCCCTCGGGGAGCTGCACCTCTGTAAGCCAGCTTCTTGGCTTCAGCTGGCACATCAAGTGTCTGCAAATGGGCTGGGCAGCCTAGATAGTGAGCTGTGGTTAGGAGTCATGCTGGGGCTTGGATGGAGCTTCAGAGGAGCTGCTGGTGGGGGAAAGTGGGGCTGCATGCAGTCTCTCTCCCTCCGAAAGCTTCTCAAAGACATTCTGAGGAGCCAGTGAAGACATGTTCTCATAGGGCAGAGACAGCCTGGCCTCTCTCTGTGCTGGCTGGCAGTTCCCTCTTGGGCATCTATCCGTAGCAGTACCCCCACCATGAGGAAAGACAAATCTTGGTGCATACAAGATCATCACAGCCACCTCTGCTTGTGTAAGAGCCCTTGTAGGGTTGAGGAAAAGCGCACATCTCAGAGCAGCCATCTTCTGCTCAAAGGGTCAATCCCTTTCCCCTTTTATATTTCCATCTCCAATCGCTCCTGTGGCAGGGAAGACTACAAAGGAAGGGTCTCCTAAACATGAGTGCAGGCAAAAAGACAGGATTTAGGACAGAGATCAGGGCATTCAGAGAGGCCCATGGCAGCCATGGTTGATGAGAATCAAACAGAAGCTGCTCCTGCTGCTCCAGGACTGAGTGCAGGAGCAGTGCTCCAAGGGGCAGCAAAGCCAAGCCCAGGAGGAGCAGGAGGCCAGGCTTCCCTTGGCACCAGCAGCAGGCTGGGGCTCTGGGAGCTCACTGCTCCCTTCCCTGGGCCTAGAGGTTGTGGGTCAAAAGCCTGCCTCCAGGCAGGCAGGAGGTTGTTGCCTACAGAGTTAACATTAGAGCAAAGCCTCTCAAAGCAGAGAGTCTCCACCCAAACCATCCCTACCTACTTTCCTTTCCCACCAGTCTCACTCTCCGCGTGGAGGCAGGGGGAAGATTTTGTGCACAAATACAAGAAATTCCATGGAGCCACTGGAGCACCAAACCCAAGTGTCAAAGCACCAGGCAACATCAACCTGGGGCAGGCTGCCTGGGGCCACAGGGCAGCCTTGGCCACCTTGCTGGGGTGGGAGGGCTTTTGCAAGCCAGTGCACGACCCCTGCTCAAGGGGAGAGCTTTGTTAACACCAAAGTGAGCTCCCTGGCTTGCAGACAAGAGTAGCCCAGAGCATCGGTCCCACTGGGCTGCTAGCACAGAGCACCCAGGCTGGGATGTTGGAATGTCTTTGGGAACTCAGGGATAGGTTACAGATGGTTTACCTAGTGCTGGGTAGCTCTGCAGGTCAGGTCTGATGGTTATCTCCCTTTCAGGCGTTCCTGTTGCCCACCCCACACAAGCGTGACCTGCAGATCGATGAGGGACCTGCCCAACAGTACCGCCGCTTTGCAGAGTACCTCCATTGCACTGTTTTCCCAGAGTTTGTGAGTGCTCCTTCCCTGTATATCTCCTTCAGGGTGTCAGCCAGGCGTTGCTCTCACACCTTCTGCCAGGGTACAGCAGGGGCTGGCTCCAGGGCAGGGCAGCCAAGGTCTGAGAGGGAGCCCAGAGCAGGCAGTGTCCTTGCAAACAGGCACTGTCTCCTGGGACCTGAACATGAAGGGGCAGGTAACAGGGTCCATCAACAGTCCCAGACACGTGAAATGAAGAACCAGCTCCAGGGTCCATCCAGGAAACAAAAGGAGATAGGGCCAGAGACATGGCTACAACACAACTCTAAAGTCCATCCAGGGCTGGAGACAAGCTGCAATGTCCATCTGAGGGGTCCATCCAGGAGCTGAACTAGCTACAGCAGAGGTCCAAGGTCCACCCACAAGACTGAAGCAGAAACCAGCTCACCCACAACAGTTAAGAAGCAGCTGAAGGCCCTTAAATGGGCTGTGAGCAGGAGTGTGGGTAGAGGCCCCAGGTGAGGCTGGTCTGGGCCATTAAAGGCTATTTCTGCCTTCAGCGCCCTGACATGTTCATGGCCAACCAGGCAGGCAGGGCTACAGCAGACCACAGGATGGTGGGAAACCAGGCGTACTGTTTATTTAACTCACAGAAGGTGTTTGCCACCAAACCTCAGTCCAACCTACCCACACCGTGTGGGCATCTGTACTTGTCTTTGGGATCCCAAGAGCCCTCCATCTGTCTCCTTCTACCACCCCTGCTTGGTTCTCCAGGCCTCCCTCTTGGGTGATGGTTGCCGCCGTCAGGGAGGTTTTCTGGGCAGTGAAGAGTGGCAGGGCAGCCTGAAGCCCACGCCTGGATGCCAGCATCCCTAGGGAGCGCCAGCACAGGGAGGGACGGTAGCTATGTGGGATAACCACGCAGACCTTGGGCTGAGAGCCTCCATCAAACCAGGACACTACAACCTGCATGGGACAGTCACTGCAGGACCCCCATTCCACCCCCGCCCCTTGTGCATGAGGGTCCTACCCGATCATTTGCATGGAGTACAAGTTTTGCATCGTGGCATGTGTGACTGCTCTCTACCAAGGGTTTGCTTTGGTTGGCATGCTATATGCCTTCAGGGGAGGATGCCTCAGATGCTCCCCACTCCACACAAGCCCTTCAACAAGTCCCCAAGTCTTTTCTCCTGTTTAAGACAGTGCCCCATGCAAACAGCTGGGCCTGTCTGGGGGGCTCACGTGAAGATTTGGGTTCTCTCACCCCACAGAAGCGACGGCTGGACAGGCTGGTCTGCCAGCCCCTCTGCAGCCTCTCAGACATGCTGGTGGGGCCACAACAGCTGGTCAAGAAGCGCCTGGCCAAGCTGCCGGACTATGAGGAAGAGCGAGATGGGCAGCGTGACGTATGACGAGGAGGCAGCCATGAACACCTACCTCGCCATCAATGCCCTGCTCGTGGCCGAGCTCCCACGGTTCAACCAGACAGCTCTGCAGCTCCTGGGGCAGATACTGTGCTCCTTCAGTGCCCTGCAACAGGACTTGGCTGCCCAGGTCCTGCACCAGGCAGAAAAGGAGCTAGAGCAGGTGAGAGTGACCCTTGGCACCTGTGCCCAAACCGGCACACATGCTGAGCCAGACCTGCCTTCTTCAGGCTTGGGACATCACTTGGATGTCAGGGCACTGAAGGATTACTCTAGCCCAAGGCTGCCCTTGCAGACACATAGCTCCCTGTCTAGCATTTGTAAGTGATCCCTACTCCCCTTCAGCTGGGGAAAGCCAAATTGTCTCTTCTTCACTGCCAGGAACTGTCCTGCTCTCTCTTTGAGGACACCACTGGTAATTTATTGATGTGCTGCCTGAGAGATCAGTGTTGACTCTGAGCCCCTGAGAGCTCTGTGCTGGGAAGGCAAGGAGGAGAAGGACAGCTCGTGGGCTGAGGAACGAGCATCCCTCAAACCCCCATCCCCTGGGAGATGTCTCCCAGGACTCCTCACTGCAGAGCATTCTCTGAGCCTGATGTTTGCAAATGTGGTAGGTCAGGCCAGTCCAGAGCCCTGGAGTGGAGCATGGCTCTGGCCTGACCGATGACCAAGATGAGAACAAGATGTCGCCATGTGGAAGTATCCTCTCAGACACTGCCCATGTGTACCTCATCATGAGGGTGGATTCCCCTCGTTCCGTCTGGGATGCTTATGCTGCAGATGTCTACCCCGGAGCTATATCCACTTGTCTCCCTGTATAGTCAGGTGGGACGGGCTGTGGGCTCGGGGTAGAACAGCAGGACCTCGGGTCTGCTCTGGTGGACTGGGTGCAACCCAAGAACCCCATGTGTGACTGCCCTGCACAGCGCAGGAGGCTCAAAGCCAGAGAGGAACAGCTTTGATCCTAGATCCAAGGTCATCCTTAGTGGCAAGGTTTGGTCTCTTGCTTTCTCACCCCTTTTCTTCTTGCTCCTTCTCTTTTGACCCTACCCACAGCTCTTCCCCACCCCAGAGCCCTCTCTAATCTCAGCGTCTGTCTTCACAGATGCCCCATGGCCGCATGCCTCTGCCCAGTTTCTGGAAGATGGTGGAGGACACCTTGCAGCAGTCTGGTGCTCAGCTCCGTACCTTCTGCCAGACATTTGAGACTGTCACGCCGAGCCCTGTGACACAGGTAGGAGCTGGGAAGGGAATGTCTCAGGCCAGCTGGATGAAGAGGTAGGACTGTAGCTTCCCGGTGTAGAACATCGCCTCCGTGGGGAAGTTGGCTCAGAAAGTGGCACGGTGGGTTGCCACAGCCACAGTATTTCCCCCAAGCCCCTGACAGCAGCTGGCGGGGAATAACCAGGGATGAAACAGTCTCAGCTCTTCTGGTTCCGGACACTCGTCTCCAAACCGTGAGGTAGAGCAGATAGTGTGAAGGAGTTTCTCCTCTAACCTTTCACTGGGATGTCATCCTGCAGAAAGGAGAGCATATGTACATGGAGGGCCTCAGTCTCCTGCCTGTCTTATCAAGTGCTCCTGTGTCTTTTTGCTCCCCATCAGCCTCTGAACCCTGCCGAGGAGCGGAAGGTCCTTTCTCTTGTGAGCAAGCATGGCCCAGACAAACTTTACCAAGTGACAAGCAACATCAGTGGCAGCAAAGACTTGGACCTGACCTTGCAAAGGGGACAGATTGTAGCTCTGCTGCAAAGTGTGGACACTAAGGGGAACACGAGCAGATGGCTGGTGGATGCTGGAGGTACTGTGAGCTCTACGGGGAGCCTCTCCCTGCCTCAGCACCAGGGTCAGAAACCAAACCCAAACCACTTCCTCATCTCGGATGAAACAGCGGGTCATTGCCTCCCAGGTCCTCCCTTCCAGGGTTTGCTCAGCCCAAACCCACCTCTGCTTGGCCAGCTACACCAGCAGCCATTAGCCGTAAAGTTCAGGTTTCCCCATGAGGGAGCACTTGTGGCTCATCATGACTGAATAAGGAGAATCCCATGTACACAGAAACATCTTGAAACCCCTTTTTGGAGGGTTTTGCTGCTGGATATCCCCTAGTGAAGGAGCAGCTTGCACAGGGCTGCTGTGCCGTGGCAGGCAACAGCCAAGTTGTCATTCCTCTCTCCTCCAACCAGTCCTACATGTGCCAGGCAGCAGGGCCCCATGACCTGTGTGTGTGCGTGTCCTCCAGGTCCTCGAGGGTTTGTGCCTGCTGGAAAACTCCAGCCCTATTGCCCAGTACAAAGCCAGCAGCCCGGGATGCAGATGCCAGCCCTGGAGAGCAGCACAGAGAGAAGACGACATTCATATGTGTCACCTGAAGCTCCCAGACCCCAGATGGCCACCTTCACTCCAGCTTTCCAGGTGAGAGTGGGGACACCCTCCAGGGCCATTCCTAGCAACCCCACCAGCTCCGTGCTGGTCCCTGTGTGTGCAGCGTGTGGGTGGGAAGGTGGACCTGCTTTTCCAGCACACACGTGGTCACACATCTGCAGCCACCTGCCTAGCAGGGGAGTGTCGCAGCCCCTGGCCAAGTGCCCTGCGAGGCTGGTGTCTGCCTTGCTGGGACCTGGGGCGGACAGAGCAAGAGAACTGTGCTTGGTGGGGTCCCCAGTGTCCCTCCATCAATGGCAGTACTGTGCTGCCCTCTTGGAAACATGTCCCCTCGAGGTCCTGCCCTGCCACCTATGTCCTTTCCCCCATGACTCTCGCGTCCAGCAAGGGCTTCCTCCCTCCTTACCCTGCCTTTCGCAGGTGGTCGCCGGCTTCTCCTTCGCAGCCAGGAGTCCGCAGGAGGTGAGCCTCCAGGCAGGGCAGCCCGTGGTGGTGCTGGAGCCGCACGACAAGAAGGGGAGCAAGGAGTGGAGCCTGGTGGAGGTGAATGGCCAGAGGGGCTACGTGCCCTCCAGCTACCTGGTGACTGTCCCTGTGCCCGAGCCCATGGGCTGGAGCTTGCCTGTGTGAGCACAGCCAGCCCGGCACCCAAGGGCACAGGCTTCATCGGATGAGAGCCGTCCGCTTAGCACCCAAGGACTTGTCACAGGAGATGCTGGAGGGAGGTGTCCGTGGTGGCCCTGGGCTGGGGAGGCGGTGGGAAGCAGCTGGCAGAATACAACCTGGGGGATGTGGGTGTGAGGGACAGCAGTCGGGAGGCACATTTTGAATGGTAGACCTGAGGTTGCCGTGTCCCATACGTGTTTGCACAAAGGAAAGGAGCATGAAGGAGTAAGGGCAGGTGGCTGCAGTGACGAGACAGCATTGTCCCCAGTTAGATCAGGACCAAGCTGCAAAGGGTGCAGCACTGCAGAGGGGGTCTTCGGCCTGGCATGGAGCATCAGAGGCTCTTGGAAAAGGGCTCTGAGGGCAGTGCTGGTGTGAGTGCAGAGACTGAGGTGGAGCAGCCCTGGAGACATGGCTCCCCACTCCTCACCAGGGCACTACGCCTGCCTGGGTGCCCACCCCGATGTGCCATTGTGGTCTCTTTGGCAGCACAGCCTTCATGTCCTGCTAAAGGGCACAGCAATGCCAGCCTGCGCCCGGCCGCACTGTCGGCAACAGGAGGGTGCCGGGCTGAGTCCTGTGGCCGGGGTCATCCCAGGCCTTCCTGGCCACCGAGCACTGCTCCTGGCCACCGAGCACTGCTCCTGGCCTCGGTTTCCCCCTGCAGTGGGGCTGATGCTGCTGACCCCTTTGAGAGGTGACGAGAAGCGCTGTGTACACCAGCAATGCTATTTCGTGTGACTGGTACGCTGACATTGCAATATATTATACTGTCTCTCTCTGCCCCACCTGTGCTGATGGGCTCAGCCCCCCACGCGTGGGGCCGTGCCGTGGGGCTGTGCAGCGCCCGTGACAGCCCGGCACGGTGGCAGCGTGGCCGCGAGAT